GCGCGGCCGCCTCGTGCCGCCCCACGCGCCGTGGCCGCGGGGAGCCCTGTGCCGCCCACCAGCGCCGCTCGCCCTGCAGGTGCTGGCGCTGGACGCCCGCAACCACGGCGGCAGCCCGCACAGCCCGCACATGAGCTACGAGGCCATGAGCCTGGACGTGCAGCAGCTGCTGGCCCGCCTGGGCATCACCCAGTGCGTCCTGCTGGGGCACAGCATGGGCGGCAAGACCGCCATGGCGCTGGCGCTGCAGCGGGTGGGTGCCCGCCCGCGTGGCGGCGCGACCGGAGGGCGACGGGCGCCCGGGGCCGTCCTGCCGCCGCAGGCAGCAGCGCCCAGCCGCCCTCTCTGCCCGCAGCCAGACCTGGTGGAGCGCCTCATCGCCGTGGACATCAGCCCCAGCACGACCGCCACCGGCTCCGAGCTCTCCGCCTACGTGTCCGCCATGCAGGCGGTGACGATCCCCGCGGGCCTGCCGCGCTCCGCCGCGCGCCGCCTGGCCGACGAGCAGCTGCGCCCCAYGGTGCAGGTCGGAGAGCCCCCGCCCGGGTGCCATCCCGTCCCGGGAGCGGAGCTCGAGCGCCGCGCTCCCGGCTGGGCTCCTTCCGCCCCTGCCCGCTCCACGGCTCTGTGCGATGTCCTGGCGTTGGGGACGGGACAGACTCGTGGCATCCAGCAGAACGTGCCGGGATGGGGGATGGAGGGCGCTGGGACATCTCGAGGGCTCCGTGCTCGTGCGCGCCAGCCTGCGTTGGCACCGTCCCCTCTCTGTGGCAGGCGGCAGAGCTGAGGCAGTTCCTTCTCACCAACCTGGTGGAGGTGGAGGGCCGCCACGTCTGGCGCCTGAACCTGGACGCTATTGCCCATCACCTGCCAGATATCATGAACTTCCCTGTCTTCCACAAGCCATATCCAGGCCCCACGCTTTTCCTGGGAGGATCCAAGTCACCCTATATCAGGTGAGTCTGGAGGCTGTCAGAGGCTGTGATCTGATCCCCATGCTCTGCTCCTGTGGCTGCCAAGGGTGGGAGGATGCCTGGAGATGGGAAAGGTCCTACAAGGAGTTCTGTGCCTCCCAGGGCTCGTGCCACCAACACGCTGAAGGGCAAAGGGGGCTTAGGGGGGTCCTGGGCTTCCTTCCCGGGCACAGAAGTTGTGGTCAGACCTAAGTGGGCACTTGGGGTGGAAGACATCTGGACAGAGCTCACATCGTGCTGTGTTCCCTTGCCCTTCAGCCCCAAGGACTATCCGGAGATCCGGCGCCTCTTCCCAAAGGCAGATATCCAGTTCATTGAAGGMGCCGGCCACATAGTCCATCAGGATAAGTTTGAAGAATTCATGACTGCCGTCCTCAATTTCCTGCCACCCCCRTAGAGCCGGGGGCTGCAGTTTCGCTGAGCACCCCATGGGACCCGGGAGCTCCGAGAGGGACGTCAGGCCTCCCGGGCGGTGGGAGAAGCAGCTCCCAGCCCATCGCTCCCTGTGCAGGGAGATCCGGCCTGCAGAGACCCTCCCACACAAGTCGGAGCTGGTGCTGAGATGCCCCCCTTGCCCAGCCCTCTGACCCGTGGGGATGCAGAGCATCGCAAGCCCAGACGCTGTTCTTGAGCACACAGAGCCAGGGGCTGCACGCCAGCGTCTCGGCTGTTCTAGGGGAGCAGGAGAGCCCTCAGGAAGGAGCTCCGCTCCGCCGGGGCCGCTCYGACCCTCGCCTTGGGCTCACAGGGATTTCCTGCCTCTGGAGCACCCAGTTGCGGAGCTGCCTGTGGCTGTGCAGGACGTGCAATAAAGCTGAAACAGAAGCCAGTCTGGATGTGCCTTGGAGTCTGAGCAAGGTGCTAGCGGGCGCAGGAACGGGGCCTGGCTTCCCTGAGGGGACACKGGTGGGAAGCTAGAGATGCCCCAGGGCCCGTAACACAGGGAGCTCTGGGAGCGTCACATGCAGGATGCGAATTTGTGGATCTTTCATGGCTCTCAGAGGGAGCATGCAAGCTCCATGGAAGCTTTCCATGGAGCATGGAAACACATCCTTCCTCTGAGGTTCCTCTGAGCGCTGCAGCCGTGCCCGGTTTCGGAAGGGCCACGGGGACACCCTGGGGAAGCAATGCGAGCGTGGGGCTSATCGTGAGCGYGCCGGGCGCCAGGGCCCTGCGTGCRGCCGAGCAAGGCGGCAGGRRGGCCGCGGAGCGYGGGAGGCTGCTCCRGAGAAGGGAGGTGCCGGGGCTGCTGCGAGGAGGGAATAGCTGGAATGAGGACAACCGACCTCCTGCTTGGGCCTGGGCTCCGAAATCCCTTGGGATGGGGGCCTCRGAGCAGGTTGTGCCCAAACCAGGTGCGTGGGCAGGACAGAAAGGCCTTTTACACAGGCTCAGCCTAAGGAGGTGCAGCCCGAAGGCTGAAAACGCAGAGGGAAAGGYGGGCAAGAGACGTCTCTGCTGCCCTCTGAGCTGGAAGGGACAACCCGCAACACACAGAGCTTTGGGAGAGGAGCCTGCTGGCTCCTCTGGCAGCCCGGTGCTTGCATGAATGGGGCACTGGAGGAAATGGGGAAAACGAGAGGCCGCGTTSAATATGAGCGCGCCGGGGAGGCAGGCGGGCACCGAGCGGTCCGCGCAGGAGCCCGGGAGCATCCSCAGACACGGGCATCCCCGCCAAGCGGCTGCGGCACCTCCTGCCCGCAGCCAGGAGAAGGGGATACAGCAGCTGCCGGTCACGCACCCGCAGAGGGGCAGCAGCAGAGCAGAGGTGCAACCTGCTGAGAAAAACCTTCGTCAAACAGGTGAATTTGGAGACACGGAGGAAGCGGTCCTGGGGGTGAGGGCTGGTACGGGATGTGCTTGTGCTTGCAGCTCTTTCTGGGAATGGTTAAGGGATACTGAAGCAGCTTTGCATTTAGTGTCCTGGTGCCAGGGTCTCTGCTGCTCCCTAACAGAGCGTGTTCTGGTCGGGGTCACTTGGAAACCACAAAAAGGAATCAAGGAGACCAAGGAGAGCTTTATTTTGAGGATATTCCTGTGATTTAGCAAAAGGGGGCAACATCATTTGGTTAGGCAATTCATTGTGTTTCTGTAGAAAATAGAGACTCTTCTGTGTGCTGCTTTGCTGGAGGCAGAGCGTGACAGATAGGAAGCTGGTTTGGGCCTTTCCTGCCCCTTCTCTGAAGAAGCGCAAGTCCCTGGAGTGGGACACGGAAGGCCCTCCCTGAGCACCTGCATGGATGCACCGTGTCTAGAAGGYGCAGCTTGAAGGCCCAGGCCACCGCGTGGCCCTTGCTGCAGGGCACAAGCCCCTGGGAGAGGCGGCCAGCGGTGCCCGGGCGCGCAGCGAGGCCAGGGCCCATCTCCAGAACTCAGCCCGTGCGCGGGCTAGCAGCCCGGGAAAAGGTAGAACTTCCTGAGCAGCGTCRTTCGTTCCTCTGCTGGCAGCTGCCGGGGGAACTTGTCGAAGGAGCATTGGACCTGAGGCRAGAGCGAGCAGGGAAGTGAGGAAAGAGAGGGCAGCTCCCGTGGGTGGTGGTGGGCGCATGCCGGGCTGCGTGTGCCCGTGTGAGCCCTGGCCCTGGCTCTGCTCTGCTCCGAGCAGGGCCTGTTCCCAGAGCAGGGATCCAGACCTTCAGCAGGGCTGCAGCTGCTGGGGCACACGTTTAACAACGAAATCCCACCTTTCGGAAGATCTCCCGCAAGTGGCTGTTATGGGCACAGCTTCTGAATTGCTCTATCAGGTGCTGGATGAAAACAGAGCCAGTGAGGGGGCTTCTCCAGGCGGCGGTATCTGGAGAGAAAGAAGACACTGGATGTCACGGCTRYGGCCTGGGGTGGGGGCAGAGGCTGYGCCTCGTTCGGAGCACCCGGGAGGCCCCGGGCTCCCCCAGGGTGCAGGAAGGAGGCAGTTCTGGTGCGAGGGGCAGAGCTGGGCAGAGGCCCTCGCCCTGGGTGCGGGGGCTGCCGCGGCTCTGCGGGGCGCACGGGCTGGGGCGCCAGGCGTGGGGACCCCCCGCGGCACCGTGAGCTTGGGGTCGGACCCGCGCGCCGCAGGGTGGCGAAGGAGGGGCTGGGGGTCCTGGGGAGGCTGGAGCCCACGTGCTGTTTTCTCTACCTGTTTTTCCCTTCCCTGTGGGTACCAAATTCCTGCTGCATTCCAGGTCCTGGTGCATTCCAGGTGCAGGGCTTGGAGCTGRGGGGAGTATTCCTGCTCGGCCTGCCACTCGGATAAGCTAAATCTGCTTGGGTGGTGTTTCCCTGCGGGGAGCCCCGTGGTGGCTGCTTCAAGGCGTGTGGAGGAGCAGCCAAGGCAGTGCCAGGAGGCAGAAAAGCCTGGACGCAGAGCTGCTGCCCCTGAGCAGGAACCGTTCGCTTCTTGGAGCAGCTGTTCTCGTGGCACGGCGGGGACACGGCATTCCCAGCCAAACTGCAGCTGTGTCTGAGCGGCACAGAGGGAGGCTCTGCCACCAGGAGGACGTGTCTGCAGGAGCTCTGTGGCCGGGAACACGAACCTCCCTCCGCCCAATTCCCCCCTCAGCTGAAACCGGCTTGGGAACTGGTTACCAGGGGTGGACGAGTATAAACAGGCAAAATCGCTTTCCAGGTGGACCTCACGGATCATGTCGCTTTCCAGCCCCGCCACGGCCATGTGGGCCGAGCCGGCGCCCGTTGTCCTGTGTCCRATGTCTCTCACTAGCACCGAGCCTTCCTTGTCTAGGGGAGCAGGGGAGTTAGGGCGCTCGGCTGCCCGGGGAGCTGCGTGCTCCGCTCCGCGCAGCCCTCGCACACGGGATTCACCTCCTCGGCACGCCTGGATGATGAGCACTTTGGGCTTGCCCAGCAGCACCCAGCAGTGCTTGTTGTTGAAAGTCTCATAGATGGTATCGAGGGACAGGATGTCTGTATTCCCGTCTCTGCTCTGGGTCCCGCAGACACCAGCCCTGGCCCCGTGGGACATGAGCACCAGGAAGGTGCTGTCCGAGGTCTGGTGCTCCTTGCAATGGGCAAACTCCTTCAAGGCGCTGGCCATCTCCTGCGAGGAGGCAGGAGGTGGGGACATCAGCGACCTGCCCCCGGCCTGGCACAGACCCAGGCACCACCCTGATGGGGAGCCACTGCCCTTGGGGACAAGCTTGTTCCTGTGCTGCGACCATCTTCCCAAGGGTTTCTGCATCGCTCTGGGGCCACGTGCTGCCTGCTTTGAGCCATGCTTTACCTGGGACGTTAGGTTGAGATGGGTTTCCACCTTGTAGCCCAGGTCTTCCAGCAGCTTTGTCATCCCCTCTACATCTTTCTCGGCCCCGCACCGCTTGGTCAGGTACTTAAACTCAATGTTGCAGATGAGCAGGGCCCTGCGGGTTCGCGTCTGCGCGGGCAGGTAGATGGGGTAGATCTGCAAGCAGGGAGGGAGGCTGCGCTCGGCTGCAGCGGGTGCACGCGGGCTCCTGGGCCCCTCAGCCTCTCTGTACCCCCAAAGCTCCTGCCCTTTCCCCCTGCAGCCGCTGCCGGCTCATGCTCCCAGCCCTCGGCTCCCGCGCCCTCGGCACCTCGCTGCCCTCCGCCTCACAGATGCGCTCGTAGTCACCCAGGGAGCACTGCTGGATCCGCTGCTGGCCCTGGGTGCCGGTGGGGAGCAGGGCAGGGACGTCAGCCGCGGGGACGGCCAGCTGCGTGTCGGGGAGCCCTGYAAGCACAAGGCGCCCAGTTAGGGCAGGGGGGGCTGTGGCAGGTGGGGACCGTCCCCGCTCACAGCAGGGTGCACACCGGCAAGAGCAGCGTGACGAAAGGGGCAGCAAAGTGGTGTGGCAAAAGGGACAGTGGTGTGGGGAAAGGGACCCCGAAGCGGTGTGGGGAAAGGGACGCGGTGCCGCAGCCCGGCAATGCCAAGGGCTCCCGGGCACCCTGGGCTCCCTCGGGTACCCCGGTGAGCGGTGAGGGAGCCCCAGGGCAGCCGGGACCCAGCCAGGGGCAGCGGAAGGCCCCGGGCCCGGCTGGCGCTTGTTGCCGCTCACCCGCGTCCGCGCCCAGGCCCAGCTCTTCGGCCAAGTGCCTGTCGCGGTTCCTGAGGCTCTCGATGAGGACGGCGCTGGCGCGGGCGCCCTTGCGGCGCACGCAGTCCACGAGGCAGCGGGCCTGGTCGGCGCGCAGCGGGTGCGCGTCCCGCACCGCCTCCACCTCCTCGGGGCCCAGCACGCACCGCTCCAGCAGGTCGTCCAGCAGCCCCGCGATCACGGCCTTGCCCAGGCGCTCCACGAGGGCCGTGCGCGCCCGCAGCAGCTGCTCGGCTGCGGGGCAGCCCCGTGAGCGCCGGCCCCGCCGTGGCACCCGCCACCCGCTCCGCGGGGCCCGGCTGCTCCCCCGTCCCGCCCTCCCGCCCCGGCCGCCCCCTGCCCCTCTATCCGCTCGCCCCAGGGCTTCTTCCCCCCTGGGCCGCGTCCCTGCCGGCTCCCTGCGGCCCCTCGCCGAGCTCCCGCTCACCGGCCATCCTCCCAGCGCCGCAATACGAAAGGAAGTTGAAGAATGAAAACGAAAGGAAGTTAATGATTCCGTGATTGCCCGCCCGCGCGCGGGCACCTCCTTCCCGCAGGGCGGCCCGGCCCCTCGGCGCGGAGCGGAGCGCGGCGCCGGCACCCGGCCCGGCGGCCCGTGCCCGCAGG